GCAGCTTCTTCGCTCGTCCCGTCTGCAAAGCCATCAATGGCGTCAATGTCGATCTTCGGGTATAAAGACTTGGTCATTGCCAACGCCAGGCTTGCCCCCATACTCCCAGCCTCTTTGATATTCTTAAAGTATGTATCCGGAGCAACTCTTAGCTTGTCGAAGATTTCGGAAGCATCAAATGTACTCGAACCATTGTTATTGAAGAACATGCTTGGACGAGTGGGGTAGCAGCATTGGCGACTTCATCCCTAGCCACTTCAAGCCTCTTGATTTTGTTGACCAAGACATCGAATTGAGCTTGAGACTTGATTTTGTGATCTGCATAAATAGATTTATATCAACAAATGGACATAAGGGAAGGAATAGTTTCTGGAGTATTCGTCACCAGTACCTTCGACGTCTTTCAAAGCCGAGTCCCTTTTTGTCATTCTCCAGAGCTTGGATCCGTTTTTCCAATTCAGATATCTTAGCAGCTTGCACTGCATTGCTTCTTGTTAATTGATATTGTAAGAGTGGCAGCATAAGTAAGTTGGATAGAGATTGTATTCACCTTTTGACGAACCGCTCAGCTCAAAGTTGAAATCTTGAAGCTCAGCGATTCGGTCCCATAGATCATGCTCAGTTTTTCTGGCAAGCTCCTTAGCTTCGTGCAGTTGATGCCTGGTGGTCTCAAGGGTTCCGAGATGGGGAACTAACCTCTCAAGAGTTGCAGTCTTCGCTTCGTTCCTGAGATGGATTCTTTGCAATACGAATTTGTTTGTATTTGAGCAAAGTAGTAAACAGGATGGTTGAAGTCGTGCATAAGGAGACTTACATTTACGATGCGAGTGGCTTGGCTGAGTGCTATTTTTAGTAAGCATACTTCTTCGTCTTCCTTTTGCTTGTTTATTACGATTCCCTGAGGTTGCATGTCGTCATCCCACCACTTGACTAAAATGGGTGGGCAAGAATCCTCAGCTGATTGTATCCGGAGAATCTCCTCTTCGTCGCCGATCAATGGGCCTTGGGCATCCATGAATAAAGGTGAAACAATTGAAGAAGGTCTGTCATATCAAAACGGATTTGGAGGATGTGTTTACCTGTAATAATTTCCGGTCGAGGACGAGCAGGCTCTTGTACTTTGGCAGGAGAGCTGGGCCCTAGATCGGCACTGGCATCCTTTCTAGGAGGGCTGTTCGTTTGAGTTTCTACTTCGGGAATATCTTTATTTGGCTCTGTACCCGACTGGTTTCCAATCGGGGGCTCTTGATTAGCATCGGCTCCAGCTTTGGCCGACTGGTTCCCAGTCGGGGGCTCGTTGCTAGCTTCTACATTGTCGGTTGCCGGTTGTTTGTCACTCGGACAATCTTCTGCAGTTGGCCCGGTTTCTTTTGAAGGAACTGTCTCCATGTTAGTCGGCTCCGAGTCTTTTCCGGAGCAATCTATATCAGATGGCTTCCTACGAATTTGAGTTATGCCATCAGTATTATTTCAACAGTGAGTGAGCAACACTACGAGGAAGATGGTCGAATGATTCATACCTGGAAGATTTCCTGATCTTTGGCATTGGACGACTGGATGTTTTCTTCTTCGGATTGGTTTGCCTTGGTTGTTTTCCAGTCACCTCTTTATTGCTAGATTTTCTAGCATCGCCGCCTTCATCATCACTCAGAACCAATTTCCTCTTGCGCGAGTCCGACTGGATGGCTGATTTTGAGATGTTTGATTGAGTATCAGGCCGAATTTTTGGTCCTCCACTTGCCTGACCAGTCTGCCGGCGAGGTGATCGGCGTTGGGCAATTAGAGGGTCTGATTTCATCAAGGCGAATTCCTGGGCATGATGATTCAAGTTTTCTATCAACTTTGCAGATGATAAAAGCATGCTTAGAGACAGGCTGGGATTTTAAATACATACCGATAGAGGGGGATTGAAGGCATTGTATGGCACCACTGGCAGCAAGTGCGAATAGCTGACTACAATTGCATTTGAGAAGATTTTATACATTCTCTCCTTCATAACCTTGAATTCAAGGGATTCAGGATCTTCACGGTTAGGGTCATGTTTGCCGTCGAATTCAAAGGCCGTGCGAGATCTTTCTTTGATTGAGACCAGCCAGCTCTTGATGAAATGCCGGGTGATTTGTTCTCCCTGCAGACCTTGCTCCTTCAGCTTCAGCATACGGTCCATCAGGGCGAGCGCTTGGGCGGCTTCCTCTCCCATTGGTAGTGAATTCCAAGTGTCCTGATAAACTGGAGGAAGACAGGAGTACACGGGGAGTGCAGGCTCGGGGTTTTGTACATAGAACCAATTTGCATGCCAGCCTTTGTTTGAAGTTTTAAAGGGCATGGAGAAATACTTTTGGCTCAGAGTTCCTCTCAGTTGGAATCCAGCTCCCCCAACTATGCATGGCTTGCTTTTGTTCGGCTGGTGTTTGAGGAAGAAGATACGACGGAATAGGGCGAAATGTGGCCTGATGCCTAAAAAAGCTTCACAGGCGTGTATGAAGTTGGCAATATGAACTATGGAGTTTGGGTTTAGGTGATGTAAACTAATCCCGTAGAAATCCAAAATTTCCCGAAAGAATCTTGAGGTTGGAAGAGAAAATCCGCCATAGAAGAAATGAGAAAATACCACGACTTCATGGGTATCAGGGGTTGGAAATGCTTCGCCGCACGCCGGACGCCACCCAATGATCTCCTTCGCCGGAAGAACGCCGTGCGCCACCATCTCCTTCAAGTTTTCCTCTGTTACATCAGAGGGCGCCCATTGACTCTCGAAGCTTTCTCTCTCTTTCGCCATGACGGTGAATTGGATGGTGTGATTTGGTTTGAGATATGGCTGGAAATGGATGGGAAATTGATGCAGTGGCTGCGCGGAAGGTTTTTGTGGAGCTCAGGAGGATGGATCGAAGAGGATTTGTTAACCCTAGCTTCCGCCGGTGTGGTTTCGCACTATAGCAAGAAAATGGGGAAAATGGCGAGAGTTTCGGCGGGGAAGACGAAACGACGCTGTGCCTTCGGCGTTTATTTCGCTAGGGTTTCAGGAGTGCTAATGGGCCTGGGCCTGTACAGTACTTCAGCCCAATTCTATTACCAGCGTGGCTAGTTGTGATCCTTAGGGACTTAGGCATTTTTGCTCACAACAATATGGCCCAATGCTGTCAAAATCCTTTTTGAAGCAGTTAGATGATTCTTTGGAATTACTACAATGCAAATAAAAAGGTGCCCAACAGAAAAGTGTTATACTAATTTTGTAAGTCTTTTTAGGCTGCAAAAGCTGTTTGGGTTTTGTTGAGATAACTGGTTTTTGAACAGTTATGTGCTTGGCATATTATATGCTTATTCTTCTGGTGTGAGTCATAGCCTAGGCTATTTTGTCTTATCACTTGTTATGTTATCACATTTATATTACATTTGATGGATCTTTTTGAGAGTTCTTACTCGGATTCTTATCAAATGTGTGAATTTATGGACCTTTAGAGTGTTTTTCACTCAGGCCTTCCCATATTTTCATTTTTGGTATATTAAAGCTAAAAGCAGTCGGCTGGATGTTTTATTGAACGCCGCATATGCTTTGCTATATGATGTTCGGTTGTAAAACCACTCGGTTCTTGACTATATGTTTAGTTTTATTTAACTAACCACATAGTCGGGGGCTACACCTAATTAGGTGCATCTAGTCGATGCATCCGGTTTTTTCTATTTTAGACCTTCACAGTCTTTGATTTTGGTACTCGGAGATCTATACAGAAGAAATTGAAGCACTCGGATTATTACTTTATGTTTCAAGAGAAGGCTATTTCGTCGACTGTAAAGGTCTCGGGGGCTACTGTAGAGATTATGGATACCCCATATCTACACGGCATGTATAGTCCGATTGGGTATAGGGTGCCATGTATAGATAGAATATCTTTAAGAGGACTCGGGTTAGGTTCTAAACTTGTATATCAAGGAAATATCCGAGATCCTAGTCGGTTACGATTGTATTTTATCTGTAATTACATATTCCACTGGGGATATGGACTGTATTTTGTAATACGGACCCCTTCCCCTATATAAGGAGGGGTCCGGGTGCCTCTAGAGGCACGATTTTCTCCCATATCATACGATCAATAATACACTCGGCAGATTAATCCCCGGACAGGAGTAGGGTATTACTTCTTGATTAAGAAGGCCTGAACCTATATAAAATTCCTAGTCTCTAAACCCATTCACTTTTTCAACTTGATAGCCACCCCTTTTAGTATTGCCGAAATTTTGTTTCGACACGGACCAACTTATTTCCTTGTTGGATAGTAAACATTGAGGATGTCCTAACACCATCTAAATGAGAATGGAAACAAAATAAAAGGAAATAAAAAAGGGGCACACCGCTTAGTCAATTGCACTGAAGAGAGGGTGGAGGGCAGATAGGGTAGTTCTTAGCGGTCGAGTTTCAGTCCAATCTCAAATTTCTTCCAAATTATAAAAGGATGAGAACAAATCAGACAGAATGAAGGACGATATATCTTGCTTAACCAATTTTATGCCAATCAACCAAATTGAAAGGGAGGGGTGCAGAAAGGACAGTCCTCCCTCGGAGGTCGGTGCTGAATCCCTTGCACATTAGCGTCCACTATGGCTTTGCTGCTGTACAGGTGCCAGGGTTTCACTTTGGTGTCCAGATGTTCAACTTTAGTGCCAAAGGACCTTGGGCTGAGCAACGGTCCATTTTGGCATTTTACGAAAAAAAAATTCAGGGGTCTATTTATAAAACAATTTTTCAAAAAGAATAGATTAAAAAGAATCCACACATAGGTAATTATTTGTCTAGTAGTGTAAATTCATATAACCACTTCTTTTCTATAAGTGAACATGTTCACTTCTCATCTGCTACGAGAAAGGTAAACATTCATCAGTTATCCTCATAAAATGGACAACAAAAAAATCAGTAATACTATAAAAAATGGGCAAAGATTTGTCTGTATTAATTGGCAATACTATAAAAATAAATGGGCTTCAACATCCTCATTTTATCTCACCGAGGTTCCGAAGGCAATCTTCTGGCACCGGCCATTGATTAAAATCTGTCCTCTCATCTTTAAGTTCGAGTCCAATCTTCCTGTGTATACAGAGAGATACACATGTTATGAATTGAAATATGGCCTGTTACAGCCAGAATTAAGAAATAAACATCCAGTTCTTCCATATTATGCCTTTTACAACTGTTGTACTTACTATAGAAATGCAATTATATATTTATTACATATCTTTCTAAGGTTTTAGCTGTTTATATCCTTCATGGATATAGAGGCTGGATTAATGAAAAATCCATTATCCAAAAATATCAATCCAAGGTGCCACTTATATATGAGTGGGTCATTTCCCTGCACTCAGTACTGTGTCAACACTCAACACTGCTTGTGCCATGCTTTGTCTTCCATTTGTACAGAGCTAGCAATAGGAAGTTACGAACCATCTCCGACTCCTTTAATTTAAGGCTCTTTTCAAATGTAGGATGTTTAAAATACAAAAAAACATGTAGAATTGAAGTGTCCTAACAACTTAAATAGCAGAAAAACTATAAAAAATGATCAATTGGATGGAGTGTAGAAAAACACAGGAATCAAAAGAGATAATTAAATGCAAATGATCTTTTTTTTTCAAAAGGTTGAAGCTCATGTTAGAATTCCTCTAAAATTCCTATATTTTGAGCTAATCCAAAGAAATTTTATAGGGTTCTTGATAGCCATTCCGTTTATCAAAATAACCATATATGGAAATTTTTTATTGGATTGAATTCCTCCAAACATTCTCTAAGAACCCTTTGTTCCAAAAAAGCCTCTCAATTAAGTATCATTGCCGATTCTCAATAATTTCCATCTAAACCGATATCAAATATAACTGCTTGTTCTTACCACGACCAAAAGCGATAGAGCAGTGCAGTGATTCTTGTTAATTATGATTTATGAACCAGCAGTAACTCCTGATTCGACTAATGTCTTGAATGGGACAATCAGAAGGATAGATAATGGCACTGTAGCAAGGGAATTACATCAGTATGGAGCAGCAACATGGACATGAAAGTATAGGCACTTCTCCATAATTCTCATGACATGGTTGACTCTAGCTTCATACATCAATCGAATCTCACGTACTTTACCGATGGATCTAGAGGTGGGCCAAGGTCCGGATCACCCCATTCTATAATTATTAGGAAAAAGTACGAATTATCCCCTAAACCCGAAAACCAGACATTACTCACCCTAAACTTTTAATACTGGACGAATTACCACCCTCGGCCCAATCCAGAGCGATTTTGTCCTACGTGGTGTACGCGTGGCAATCCAGTCAGCATTTTATTTAATTAAAAAATATGGGTCCCACCTGTCATACTCTTTCTCTCTCCTCTCTCTCTTCTTTCTCTCTTACAAGGCAGCGCGCAGGGGCGGCGACGCGGGGACGGGCGGTGGGCTGGAGGAGGTGCAGCGCCGGCACCTGCCGACGGTGGTGTCGGTGGTGGAGGGCGCCGCCGCGGAGGTCGAGGCGGCGCGAGGTGAGGAGGCGGCGGCGCGAGATGAGGAGGAGGCGGCCTCGCCATGCGGCCGCACCGCCACCAACAGAAACCTCGCCGCGGCGCGCTCCGTCGCTCGCGCGGCCACGCCGTCGGCGCCACCGTTGTCGCCAACGAACACGACGCAGGTCTGCGCGCTCGCCGCAGCCTCGTCGGACGCGTCGCCTTCCCCGAAGACGGCCTCGTCGTCGATGATGGTGTCGGCGGCGGAGGCCGAGCTGGGGCGGTCTTCTCCGGCACGGGAAACGGAGGCGGCGCGAGACAAAGGAGGGTCGCCGAGGGAGCTCGACACGGCAACGGGATCGTCGATTCCTTCCCGTGAGATCCGTCGTGGGCTGCGTGCACACCCTCAACGCCCCCGCCACGCCCGCCGCCGGCCTCGGGGTCTCGCCTGAGCCGAGAAGGAGAGAGACAGAGAGACACACAGAGAGAGAAAGAGGGACGACATAGCCTGCCAGCCGCCTCGCCTCCCCGCCGCGGCCTCCCCGGGGAGGACTCGTCTCCCGCCGTCCGCCTCGCCTCCCCACCGCGCACGCCGCGCGCGGCGCCGCCGCGCTCTCCCCGGGGAGGACTCGTCTCCAGCTGCCTGCCTAAGCCGAGAAGGAAAGAGACAGAGAGAGCGAGAGAGGGAGGGACAACGTAGCCCGCCTCATCCAACGCCTTCCTCGGCGCCGGCCGCCGGCCGCCGCGCCATCCCCACGCTCTGCTGCCGCCCCCTGCACGCCGACCACCCGTCCGCTCCAGGTGCGTCGCCGCCGCCGCCGCCCACTGCCTATCCACGCGCGCTGGAGAGAGAGAGGGGGCAAGAGGGGAAAAGGGGTAATGACATGTGGGCCCTATTTTTTTAATTTCTTTTTCTGATTGGATTTCCACGTCGGCGCCACGTGTATGCCACGTAGGATAAAAACCGCTCAGGATTGAATAAGGGGGTAATTCGTCCGGTATCAATAGTTCGAGGTTTAATATGTCCGATTTTGTGGTTCAGGGGGTTAATTCGTACTGTCGTAATAGTTTAGGGGGGTAATTCGTACTTTTTCCTAATTATTATGGGTCAAACTTGTGCTATGTATGCCCTGCATTTAAGAACTAAAGATGCATATTCAAACGTACCTTTTCCAAGTACGAGGTCTCCATAGTTGCTTATGACTTACTCCCTCCATCTACTTTTGATAGTCATATTTTATCTTGGCACAATGACTAAGGATAAATAATTCGACTTATCATCAATTTAAACATGCTACTAGTTATTCCTCATAAACAAGCGATTCATTAATATTTACATTTCTCGATGCCATATAGTCAATCTTATGTGAAAGAATAGAGTCACGCATTAAATCCGAGAAAAACCATTATAAGGATAGGTGGTTGGATTGAAATATGCCTATCAAAAGTAGATGGAGGAAGTATATTATAAATCATAACAGCTTATTAGCGATTAAAAAGTTAACCTTTCGTATACATGTTATTAGCGACTTAAAAAGCTACTCCAAAGCTAAAAAAACTATACTGAAAAAAATCACAATCAAATTCAAAATTAAGTTTTAGAATTCAAATTTTCCCATTGACTTATAAACCATAGGGCAAACAATAAGTCCTGAACAAACATTGGCTATATATTGAAATTGTTGGTGAGACCCATAGCGATCTAGAAACAATCTATAGTCTGAGCAAACACATGCGTAAATAATTATATACGTGCCTATCTAATAACAATCTAAAGTCTCACTACTTAAAAAACGATTTTTATGGACGCACCCCTTAATTAACTACATGCGGATAAAAGAACATACACATGTGTAGAAAGATTAGAATGATTTTTGGTTAAGGTCCACATGAGAAAATTGATTTTCTCATGTAGCTCTCTTAAGAGACCGGCATGGCAAAATAACATATTTTTGCTTGTGGGCCTTTAAGGGGACTGCCAGGGAAATCAATTTTCCCATGACGAGGACCTCTCCTCCGCCTGCAGTTAATAGCTACTCCACATTTTTTTTCTCTCCGTCACACCGCATCTCTGCCTCCCTTTTGTTTTTCCCTCTCTCCTTTTCTCTCCTCTTCTCCTCCATTTTATTTTCTTCCCATCCTTCCTCCACTTTCCCCTCTGCCACTTTCACTTCTTCCCCTCCATCCAGCGGCTCGGGAGAGGGTGGCACTGTCCTCGGGGTGGATCCGCAGCCCCTGCCCTCGGTAGCGATGACTGTGTACGGATCCCTACCCTTGTTCTCAGGAGCGAAGCTGGCACGCATGATGACAATGACGACAGCGGATCCGGCAGCGCCACCCTTGGGAGGGGCGGATCTACCGGCAGTGTTGCCCTTGGCCTCAGGAGGGGTGACGGCAGCGACTGCTGAAGGGGGATGGGAATGGAAGCTAGGGTTTTGGCTGATTTTTTTTTGGAATTTATATTTTTTTTTGCAAAATTATTTTCACAGCCGGTCATCATAGGTGACTAAGTGCGAACATGCTACTTTGTTATATGGTTACGTTACTCATATGGAAAAATGTTGATTTTCACATACACCTAGATGCAAACGGTTGCTTCATCCGCCTCCGAAAATGGGTTTTTGACCATCTGCAAAACTCGTTTTTTACGAGTTAATAACTACTACCTCTGTCCCCTAATATAAGAGATATTAACTTATTTTCTTGTAACGTTTGACCACTCTCGTCTTGTTAAAAAAATTGTGCAAATATAAAAAATAAAAAGTTGTACTTAAAGTACTTTGGATAATAAAGTAAGTCACAAATAACATAAATAATAATTCTAAAATTTTTTAAATAAGACAAATGGTCAAATAGTATAAGTAAAATATTAAAATCACTTATATTAGGAGACGGTTGGAGTAAAATTCAAGACATTTTCAATGGCCCTGGATCCATACCCTGTGTGAGGCATTAACGATGTCATCAAGGATCAAATTAATTGTTCTATTGTGACAGGAAAATCGATATATATACCTCTTAATTAGAAACACTGATGAGTACCATACTTCAACACATACGTACGTACTGTACCGTACAAACAACGAGTACAACTGATTACAGCTGGTAAAGAAAAGTCAGCGCTTTCGTAACCGATCTTTTTATGCGCTAGTTAGTGCAAATATCTTGACGCGTGGGTCAATCTTTTTTAATTATGAATCCACTGGTGTCAACTCTTCAGCATATGCATGGTACGTGCCGATCAATTAGACTCTTCCAAGGACTGCATTAAACTAATTATAAAGAAACGACACTAATTTGATCAACCGCCGCTATATTCGGTGGATCCAATTACCTCCTCGATCGTCGAGCAGGCCTTTGCATGCACAGTCGACTACAGATTCCGCAACGTAGACGTACTCTCTCCACCGTTAATCTATTTAATTTCCATTTAAGAGCAAGGCTAATAATATAGCCGATCGGTTGGCTATAAGTTTCTTTGTAACCTTCTTTCAGCCTACCCATACAATAGTTAGCTCTTTACAATTAATACAGAGCCTACTTGTCTCTCTCACAGAGTTTCTTGGTTCTTTTGTCTAAGTCGGCTGTAAGTTTATAGCCCGCTTCTCCTCTCTCTCTCCTCTCTTCTCTCCTCTACCTCAGCATTTAGCCGGTTTATAGCCTACTACTGTACTACTATACTTGCTCTTATTTACATTGACATACATGTATGATCGATTGCAATTTCTTATTATTCTGACCATATTGTTCTTCAGTGTAAGTATTCGATCTTTGTCACATATACTAGCAAACATTTTTGTAGTGTCGCATATATATTTCAATTTTTATGGTGTAAAGCGACCTCACATTTCAAGGGGAAAAAAAGCATACTAACACCGTTATCAAATACGTGGAGTTAATTAAACCTCGACACCTTAAATCATAAAAAGCATTAGAATTTGATAAACAAAAATGGTATCAACAAATTTGTTATAAAAAATACTTTATATTGTTCAACGAGGAGATGTCTCTTAAACATTGTCGATTTTCCAAAAGCTTTGAGTAAATGGAATATGTAGGTAGTTAGTATATAATTAATACTTTATGCATGCTAATGACATTGCGATGGACAAATTTGACCTATATAGGTTACTCGCAACTTATCCAGTTTGATCGGTTACGCGATATGGAAATCATGTAGACGTCTTGATATCCTTATAAATACTGAGTGACTGTTTTCACATAACTTGTGTAAAAATTAATCTAGGCTTTGCTTTCTCCTATATACTGGACTAGTACTTGTAGTCTACTACATCCCATCCACCGACATACACCGGCGTTTAGGAGAGCAGGTCTATGGAATCATCGCCTTCAACGTCTTTTAAGATTTTGGGAAGCACCTCGGACGCCTAGTCATTGTTCGTCAACATGCTTCGTCGTCTTCCTTTACGTTTGAGCAGCACATCATCAACTTTAGTATCGTGCGTCGTACATGCGATGCATGCTGCGCCTCCTCCAGAACAGAACTATCGGTACGTGCTAATCATGTCAAGTATGTTCGATCTGTTCATGTATACTGTTGCTTTTATGCATGTGTATTAATATACTCGTACGGTATGACCATACTAGTTAATCTCTTTGTCATCATGATTTATGCATGAAATAAATTAGATTCATATGTGCTTATATTTTTTTTGGAGAATGCTACAGGATGGTATCCCATTCGAACGGAATGAAACCTATGAGATATCGGCCGATACCTAGTAGGTATCGACTGATAGCTAAATAGGTATTAGCAAATACCCGTTTTGAGATATTGGACCATACCTATACCTAGTAGGTATCGACTGATAACTAAATAGATATAGGCAAATACCCGTTCGACCTTAAGAGGTATATATCATCCCGTTTGAACGGGATATGTCCTGTAGCATTTCCCTATTTTTAACACGAGGTGCAGTGTTCTTACCGGCCAAGGTGTCAAGTAGAGTTGTCTTGCCGCAGCCCGACGGCCCCATGATGGCCAGCACCTCGCCGGGGCGCGCGCAGCCGCTGACGCCGTTCAGAATGGTGGCGGCCTTCCCCCTGCTGTCCACCGCCGTCACCCACACGTCCTCCCACGTCAGGAACACGCCGTCGTCTAGCCGCTCCCTCCTGCGGCCGCTGCCATCGTCGACACCATCCAACTCGCCGCCGCCGGCGGTGTGCTGCTGCTCCGGCGGCGCCGTATCAGTTGAAGACGCGGTGTCGTCGCCGGAGGTAGCAGCGTGATGCCCGCGGAGAGCCGCGACCACGGCGGTAAGTGGGGAACGCAGGAGGTCGCCGACGTTGCCGCGGCGGCCGCCGTCGTCGGAAGAACGGCACAGCGGGCGCGACGGGCTCGGCGTCGGCGCCCAACGTGGTAACGGCGATGTGGCCATACTGGTGATCAGGAGTGTACGAGTGTGTGCAGCTCGAACAACCACTGGCGTTCTCAGGTTAATTTGCACTCTTCCAGCATCCATATATATAGGCAGCGAGCGTAGTAAGCCAACCCATACTTGAATAATGGGTTTAGTTTGTTCCTAAATTACTTAATTTGTAAAACTAGGGGCGCCACCCACTGTCTTATAGATCTAACTCGTCACCACCATGACACCATCAGTATGGCGCACAAAAGCATGTGGTTTTGCACCTTCATTAGGCAATAGATTTCGATATTCTATCGAGTTCTTCATACCAAAAGAAATCCAAATGGCATGTGGCCATTTGATTGTTCATGTGATATATGGTGTTTTAGTTGGCCATTCAAAACCTGACACGTACACCTAAATAAATTAAATGACCCGGCATGCATTTTACTCCTTAGCTAATTCATAGAGAGACTACAAATGATGGCTATTTATTTCACTATGCCAGTTTGGCCCATCTTTGACGGCCTATTTGTGATGGGCCAAAATGCTTCATCACAGATGACCTTATCTGTGACGGGTTTAATTAGAGGCCGTTTTATATGTGGTTGTGAGACATGGCCTATCACAAGTATGAAGTCATTGTGAGCTCATATATGCACCTGACATGCAATACCTCTAACAGGCCCACATAAAGACCCGTCACAGGTCACACCTTACCTGCAATTGTAAAGGGTAAAAACAATACAAGCCGTCACAGGTGAGGGGACTCATCTCTTATGGGTCTATTATGTTTTATGTCACATCTCTCTCACCGAAAAAAGTCAAAGCCACCGGCCCACCACCGAATCCTTACCCACACATACCTCTCTCCCCTCTCTCCATCTCCCCTTCTCTCCCCCCACCCACTCTCGCCTCACGCCCCCTAAGTCGCCCATGCCTCTTCGCACCTGAGCACCGGCAGCCACCTCCTCCACCCAAAGCTCTGGCCGCCATCGCCGTTGTCTCCCTATCACGTCGACTCCTGAGCGCCAGTGAGTTCGTCTCTCCTCCCCCGAGCTCCGGCCAACACCGCCATCATCTCCTCATCACATTGACCCCAAAGCGTCGACAAGCTCGCCTCTCCGTCGTCTCATCATCTCGTCCGTCCCCAAGCTTCAGCGTCAACTGCCTCCTGCGTCCTTTGCCCCTCCAACGGTCTCGTATCCACCAACCCTGCAGCAAGGTCTCTGGTGGCACTTCTATGCCGCCCCGGAGCTCTAAGGGCACCAAATCCGATCTCTAGGTGGTTGGGGACCATTGTCACCAAGGCCATTTTTTACGGTCGTTAAGTGCAAACTTTAATCGTTAACTCCTACACATATAAAAAATATCAAATGCACTATCAAAACTTAGTGGTAGGAGTTTACTACTAACCATTTTCACTAGTTTTGGTAAATATATGTATGCAAGTTATTTAAGGAGAAAATACACCCGACATGCAACAAAAATGAACCTCTAGCCAATCATTCATGAGTGCAAGGATTGGAGGGCTCAAGTCAGTTGAAACCAACTTAAAGTAGGCCAAACCATTCCTAACCTCCATAGGAGCCCACTTGTAAGCTGTTGAAGAAAATCGGTGGAGAGAGGTGGGTCTAGGGGTCGGCCGAACCACTCCTGGCCCACCTCATCTCCAACTTACATGTGGAGGGCCATGATGGCCTCCCAATGACAGTTGTGAGGGGTTAACTGTCATTAGCAACTATAAAAGGAGGTTCCCATCCACACTTCAAGATACACAACTTTGAGCTCAAGTAGAGTACCACTTGTAGTTTCATATTTAGTATGTTAGCTTGGTAGAGAGTGAGGGGAAGCTCCAGAAGGAGTGCCCCGAAATATCAGAATTCCTCCGAGAATATTATTGAGGAGTTCCGGAGTGTCGGTATTCTTCCAACGGAGTTCCGGAGAAAGCTAGGATTGCCGGCCTTCTTCTCTCTCGCTTGTATCTCGGCGGATGCTTTCTTTATCAAAGTAAGTGTTTGAGTTTTTTTTATGTTCTTTAATTAGTTTATTTAAGTAAGATATATTCTTATCGGTGTGGGTTCGTTGCTTAGTGTGCAATTGAATGCTCTAGTACTAGGACTCTGGATAAAGAAGGAAGTTCCTACACAAGGCTAGAGTTGTCGGAGAATGAACTCCTCCACCGGGGAACCATGAGGCCCCCCTTTGTGAGTTCGGCCGGGGGTAGCGGGTGAGATTCGAGGGCTTGGTGAGTGAAGCTGTGTCATCTTGAGGGAGTTATCCCCCTCCAAGATGATGAGACCAAAGGAGTTTATACAGGTTCAGGCCGCTGAGAAGCGTAATACCCTACTCCTGTGCTTAGCTGATCTTGTGAGAAATTACAAGATCTCCTTGTTGGGGTAGAAGGTGTTGATCATCAGGGGCTCCAGCCCCCTTCTCCTACTAGGCCTGGACCTCCTTTTATATCTCCAGGGGTTGCCACATGGGCCCAAAAACATAACTTAGTGGAGAAGGATTACAATCTTTGCATTAAATGCATGTCTTGTCTCTTGACTTGGGAAGCAAGCGCACGTCATCTTGATGATGAGACCTGTCAAATCTTGTCGCCTGACACGGAGGGTGCCCCTGTCAATCACCATTTAATGGGTGAGGACTTCTGGGCTCCTATTACACCGGGAAACGGGAGCCTTGCTTTGACCAGAGCGGGAGGACCGACTCCGGCTGGGATAAGAGGATGAGAACCTCTCACCATCATTATTTGATGGGACATGTCAGGCTGCACGTTGCCTGACACACGAGCAGCGCACAGGCGCACTACCCCAGTCCCATCGGTCATTTGACCGGTCACAGACCGGTTGAGTGCATTGCACACCGCATTAAATGCGGCGTGGCGCGACTACTCGGGCCGCCATAAATGCGGGCAGGTGGGCACCTGGAGGCGGACACTTGACCCACCGTACATGGTGACCTAGAGAGGGGGTCGGGGGAGCCCGACCCCTAGTCACAGGAGGGGGCGGCCGCCGCCCGACCTCGGGCCCGATCCCCCCTCGAGGGAGGGCCATGTGGTGCCTGGGGCAGCCTTCTCCCTCTAGTCTCGGCCAGGGAGTGGCCGCCGCCCCACCTCGGGCCTGACTCCCCTCGGGGGAGGGCCACGTGGCATCGGGGGGCAGCCTCCACCATCCAGTCTCTGGTAAGGAGTGGCCGCCACCCCACCTCGGGCCTGACTCCCCTCTGGAGAGGGCCACGTGGCATCGGGGGGCAGCCTCCTCCGACTAGTCTTTGGGAAGGAGTGGCCGCCACCCCACCTCGGGCCTGACTCCCCTCCGGGGAGGGCCACGTGGCTTCGGGGGGCAGCCTCCTCCCTCTAAACCTGATACCCTCAGGCCCATATCACCGACAAGAGTAATAATTAATAACTTAGGCGTGGTGACTAGGTTAGAAATTACCTTCGTTTGTTGTGTGCTCCACGGAAAGTGAGGTAGACAGCAGGTGGTGACAATCCTGTCCGTCCTATGTATTCCTCCACATTCGGGTACATCATAGAGCTCAAGGTCGGACTCAGCCTGGCAGACCAGGGGAGGGCCAGTGCCTGAATCATTCGATAGAGTTTTACCTTTAACTTAATTAACTAACTAAAAGACATAGGAATGCACTCTACCCAATTTTTACTAGGATTGAATTCTAGTCGTAGATAATAGACACAGTTCCTCATGTTCGATATCCTTGGAATACTCTAAGGGAAAGTGCGACAACAGTATTCCGTGTGCTTGCGGATTTATTTGTGATCGAAAGAAATACCAACATCTATCAAGGATTTTGCAAGTGTTTTATCTGTTTGTGTCTTATGATTTGATTTTGGATCTTGCAAGTGTTTGATGCCAACTTTCTAATTGAGGTGTCTTATGATTGAGATTGGAGAGGTAGATGACTGATTAGATAAGAAGAGTTGGGTCTTTTGTGACTCTTGTTTTTCTTCTAGGAAGAATTAGTCTGAAATATAATGATTTGGGTTACATGGATATATTACTTGTTGTAGGCTGTAGCTGGGCACCATTTTTGTTTTATTTTTTTGGCTAGAGTTTTCACACCTGTGACGGGTAGTAAGTTACTTTTTACTTTTCTTTTTGTCCGGGGTTGTACTCAGCAATGATGGACCACAACTTGTGAGCCGATTAAGATAGTGGCACTTGTGACGGGTTCTATACTAAGCATGTCACATGGGTTAGTCAACATTGACGGGTCTTCACCCGTCAGAGATGAGTAGAGTAATCACTGTCTACACATCTCTGACCAGGGCCAAACCTGTCATAGGTGACCTGATCCAGTGTAGTGTTTACTTATAAATTTATATGATGATTATATGGAAAAACCATATGGATTCAACAGGATAATGCTAGAACTCATCTCCCAATCGATGATGCACAGTTTGCTATTGCAGTACCCCAAACAAGACTTGATATTTGTCTCGTGAATCGGCCTCCAAATTCCCGGATATGAATTGTCTAGATCTTGGATTCTTTGCTTCACTTCAGTCCTTAACATATAATAGGATATATATCTAGAAACATTGATGAGCTAATAGATAATGTTCACAAGGAATACCATGACTACAATCCAAATACTCTTAGGCTGTGTTCTTAGGTGAGGGTTAGGAACCCTCACCTCCGACACGGAAAACGGAGCAATGGATTAATGCGTGATTAATTAATTACTAGCTTAAAAAACTTCAAAACTGGATTAATATGTTTTTTAAAGCAACTTTTTTATATAATTTTTTTACAAAACACAAGCCATTTAGCAGTTTGAAAAGCATGCGCGCGGTAAACGAGAGAGTGAGGTTGGGAACTTGGACATAAGAACACAGCCTTAGGGTATTCCTTACACTACAATGCTGCTACATTGAGGTCATGAGAGCTAGTGGAGGGAATAGTACTAATGCTATTAGATGGCATATCTTCCATGGCATTATTTCTGAACTATGTTGAAGTACATGGGAACTAAAAGCCTCAACATACTTTCACGAGTTTTAGCAAATTCATCGACACCCTCATCATCAGCAATTGCATCAGCATCATCTTGTAGGACAACCGCCTCCTCCACCTCGACGAGCTCTTCAATGCCATCCATGTGCTGGTCCTCCAAGTTGTCGCAGAGGCCTTTCGTTCGACTGATCGTCCAATTCGGCGAAGAGGTCATCGTCCGCCTGCTGCTCCAAGACGCTGGCCATGTCCTCGGAATCAGGGATGAAGCCACCATCGGGGAGGGGGGCAGGTTGAAGTCGGGGATGCCCGCACACTTGTCTCGTGTTGGGAATCTAGGACGAAGCCATGGGGGTGGGGAGTACGGGGGGTAGGGGGGAGGGGGGCAGCTTGGAGTTGGAGACGCCATCCTGATCCTCAGAGTTTGGGATGAAGTTGTGGGGGAAGGGGGGGATGGGGGAGGAGGGACCTTGGGTCGGGGACGCCACCACTTGCCTCATCCTTGAAGTCAGGGACAAAGCCGCCGCTGGGGGGTAGCTTGGAGTTGGGGATGCCACCGCTTGCCTCGTCCTTGGAGTCAGGGACGTAGTCGCCATAAGAGGGCAGCTTGGAGTTAGGGACACCACCACTTGCCTAGTCATTAAAGTCTGGGACAAAGCTGTCATCTATGGGCAGCTCGGAGTCGGGGACGCTGCCACTTGCCTCTTCCTCGGAGTCAGGTACGAAGCCACCGTCGGGATGCCGCTCCACATCAAAGAAATAGCCACATGCATCATTGCCACCAAGCACCCCACCACCACGCCGCTTACATCCTCCTCGCCTTCTTTACTTGCATGCTGTTAGTCAACATCCGGTTCCGCCGCTGTTCGCTTGCGTGTAGCCCTTCTGGCTAGCCAAGCCATGTTGATTGAATGTAATCAAGACATGCTAGTTTTAACTGCATGCTTGCCGCATATGGTTTCACTTTTTATTTTGCTGGGATGACCGAGGGGTCATCCAAATGTCATTAAGATAGAGGAAAAAAAGTTACAAAAGAGTTTTTCATCAATAGCTGGCTGTCGGGGAAGGATGTATACCAAAAGCTCACACCCCGAAACCACACGCCAACCGCACGAACACAAGCTACAGAGAAGGGACCCAAGCACCGAAACGGCTGCCTCTAGGCTTACAACAAAACCATAGGGCAGAAACTCTAAAGACGACACCTTCATGAAGGTTGCGACGTCCTAGGACGCCGTCGCTGCCCATCCAAAGAACTGGACAAAGTTTTCACCCAGAGATCCTTGCCAAGGGGAAGAGAGGCACCTCCACAGCGCCCCCAGGAAGGTTACCACGCTCAAAGGCGTGGCCGCTGCCGGTCTAGTGAACCACTGGGCTAGGCTTTCGCCCAAAGGCGTGGTTTCATTTATGAGTGGTGCCCTTTTGTGTTGATAGCTGATGTTCAGATTTCACGGATACAGTTTCTTCTCAAATCAATTTGTTCTTCCTTACTGCTTTCTGATCTGTATTCTCATATACTGGTAATGACCAATAATAGAATTAAATAAAAATTATCATCTGATTATTATTATTATTATTATAACACGAATTCAGGTACACTTTCAGCCATAAACAACACAAATGACCGACTACATCCACTCATTCTAGTTCACATAGATAGTCCAGATCATAACACCAACCGCATCGCTCAGGTACATGTATAGCCAAGAAACAACACAAATGACTGACGACAGCCACTCATTTCTACTCAAATCATAGTGCTCCAAAGCTATACATGACAGTCTCTGTTCTATCAGTCCAAGGTTGACTAAAATGACAATTTTATGCTAAGTTGCCATAAATTTTTAGCAATCGTAAGTTCTTTCATACTAATGACATGTGCCAATTTTCTAAGCTAGCAAAGGAATCTCTAATCATTCTGTTCTCTGGGAGGATTTTTCAGATGGGACTATTCGTTGATATTGTACTAAACAGACAATGAAACATAGCATATCTAGACAATTATGCAGGGAATACATAACATCTGCCAACATGGTAAATTCTATCTCATCAATCGTGTGAATTCCCAGATAATAATACCATATACCAAGTTACCAACTCTTCTTGACTTCTCATGGAGAAACTCATATGTCGGTGACCAGTCTTAAAAGCATGATGGTGAAAATTCTGCTCAGTGTTACGAAACGTACGATAATACTCAAAATAGTCTCCATTGATTGAATTCAGGCATGACCTTCGGAGTGTTAGCCTCTACAACACTTGCCAGAAACTCATCGTCTTTTTAACCATATTTGCTTTCAGGGTATGATTTGCATATTGACAGTGTCAGCTTCTACAAACTCCACAAACTATAGACAAAACTTCAGATTGTCACCATGAGTAGTCTTCTCAGCAGCTACCTGTAGACAGATCAAATCAATCGAAACAGAGCGTTGCGGTTATGTTCTCTAGATCATTTACTGTCTGATGAAACTGATATGGAAAATCTTGGGATACTCAATACAATATAGCTAATCAAGACATGTCCATTAGTTTTAAAATATATAGAACCTAATGGTGGTGGTGGTGATAAGCTTATATTTATGCAACCAACTTTTACAAATGTTATTTATGGAATAATATTTAGTTGTGATTTGCAGTGCATGGCTATTTGGCTAGTATGCAAATAGAAAAAGCATTTGCTCAACTCGTCACGCATTGCACCATATAATGTTTTACAAACACAAAGTTTCAAGCACTAAATGCACTTCAGGTTACCAAATGACACCTGTGTGAGAACCTGGAAAAAACTTATCTGTATTCTGTTGCTTCAGAGAGACTCGCTACATGGTAATTCATAAGCTAAAATATCCACAACGAAGGTACTTCGTGTGGTCCTGCTCATATTGTAGGAGTAATTATATATAAAGTCACATAAAAAAGAGAAAAAATTCCATCAATTGTAGTTACTCAAGGAGGATACATTACATGAACTAGTTATAAATAGAACACTTTTCTCGTTGCTAAGGCCAACTATAGCAAAAATTTTCATGCCAAGAAAAAGGATTGCCAAGTCATTTCGTTTTGAACTACTGTAATGATACAGAAAGCATCTTACCTAGTTTAGATCAATTTTTAATTCATAGAGACCACTTGAAACTGTACTCTGGTTGCACTCCGAGACTATTCCCTCAAGATCAATAGGGGCATTTGGAACAAATACCAGCAGTGGCTTCTTTCTTGGAACAGACAGCAGCCCACTATTGCCCTCCAGCATATCCAGAACGGTCCTCATGACAGGCCTCTCTTCTGAAAATGGGTTCACACAGCTCAAACCGACAAGGAGAAACCTCATCATTTGCCCTGCATCATATTCCCCATTCAGCGTTGGATCCACAGCATCCAAAACCTTGCCTTTCGAGTGCAAATTCCAAACCCAATCAACAACATTCACCATGTTCATACTGTCAGGTGCTGCACTCTCAATTGGCCGTCTCCCTGTGCAGATCTCTAGCAGTACAACCCCATAGCTGTAGACATCACTCTTTTCTGTGGCTTTCCCCATCTGGAGGTACTCAGGTGCAAGGTAACCGACAGTCCCCGCTGCCAAGGTCGACCGAGGGCTTGTGTTAGGATCTTTCAACCTTGCAAGCCCGAAATCCCCCAACCTTGGGTTGAAATGTGAGTCAAGAAGTATGTTGCTGCACTTGATGTCCCTGTGGATCACCTGCTTGTCATGTTCTTCATGTAGGTATGCAACTGCGCAGGCAATGCCGACAGCCACATTATACCGCTGAGCCCAGCTGAGAGGGACATGACATTCAGCCTCAGAACAAGGATGGAGAGCCATATCCAGGCTACCATTTGACATGAACTCATACACAAGCAGCAGTTCGTCCTTCTCAGCACACCACCCTTGGAGATGAACCAGATTGGGGTGCTTCAGGTCAGCAATTATGGTAAGCTCAGCATTGAACTCATTGTAGCTGTCCCTGGATTGCTTCGACCGCTTGACCGCATATGTGACCCCGGAACACGGGCAGACTGCCTTGTACACAGTACCGAAACCACCACTGCCAACCACCAGAGAAGGATCAAACCCCTTTGTCGCTGAGAAGAGATGTTGATAGGTATACTGCCTTGGCTTACCCACTGCGGCCTTTGCACCCAAACCCTTCTTAAACCCTGACCCCCACTTCTTCAGCGACATTACCACAAACACCGTGACTGCACCAAGAAACACAATGGGCAAGGGGATGCCAAGCCCCAGTGCCAACCTTCTGCGACGCCCATCCTTGTGGCCGGCGAGGCCGTCCAACGCCGGAGCGCTGTCGACGCTGTCGGACACGTTGTGCGATGACCGAGACGCCGGGTCGACGGCCGGCATCCCGGACGTCTGGAAGGTCCAGCTCTGGATGAGGAAGCCACCATCGCTGCTCCCGTTTCCTGACGAAGACGTGACCTCAAAGCCGACGAACATGAACTCGGCGAAGCGGGCGGCGATGCTGTCGGCGTCGGCGGCCAACGCGGGCGTGGGCGGCCGCAGACTCGCGTGGCTGACGAACACCTCCAGGCGCGCCAGGGACGCGTCGTAGACGACCCAAGAACCAACCTCGTTGCCGTTCCGCAGGTCCACCGCGGCGGTGGAGTTCCCGTCGACGTCAACGCCGGCGGAGGAGGCCGAGACGAGGTTCCTGGACGCGTCGAAGGTGAGCTCGAGCGGGAGCGAGCGGTTCTTGGCGGCGAGGCCCTCGGCGAGCAGGTCGGGGAGGAGGAGGAAGGAGAGGCTCGAGGCGGGGCGCGCGGCGGCGGGGGAGGCGAAGACGAAGGAGGTGGAGAAGGAGGCGTTGCGGGGGAAGGGGAGAGGGAGCGGGAAGAGGGCCCGGGAGGAGGGCGGCGGGAGGGAGACGGAGATGGCGCGGAGGGAGGCCCCGCCGAGGAGGGTGAGGTTGCGGAGGGAGAAGGACGGGAAAGAGAAGGCCACCGGGCTCGCCGTGGCGATCGGCGTCGCCTGCGGGAGGAGGAGGAGGAGGACGGCGGCGACGAGGAGAGGTGTTCGTGGAGGTGGAGGCGCCATTGGAGAGCTCGAGAGAGAGGGTGGTGGCGAGGTAGGAGAAAGAGTTGACGACGTCAGCGTGGGGTCCGGGTGGGGTGGGGTCGGTGTGTCAGTGGAAGATGAAGTGAACATCGGTGTGAACAGACTGGCAGATGGGTCAGTTTTTTTTGGTTGAAATTACAGCTGTATTGGAATTTCGACATTCGGTTAAAAAGTAAATAATCGAAACAAGACATTCGGACTTTTTTTTTCCTTGTTTAGTTCGCGAAAAGAAAATTTTTAGATATCACATCAGACGTTTGACCGGATGTCGGAAGGGGTTTTCGGTAGAGGTGAAAACGGTAACGGTAATTACCGGACGACCGGCGTTCGTTTTCGACTTTCTATCGGCCGAGCCATATGGAAATGGTAATCGACCGAAACAAAAATAAAAATGGTAAAAAATATGAAAATGAAAACGGAAATGGTTTTGCTGTTATATCGATCGTTTTCGTATTTACCGTATTCTTGTGGAAATTACCGTTTCTTATAATGTGGTAATTACCGTATTCTAAATATGTCGATATTTATAGGGCATGTCTATACTTGACCCAAAACTTACAGATTGACTGACTCTTCAATCAAATCTCTAAATTTTGTACATGGCTAAAATGAAGTTAATTTATAATTTATATAGTATAAGATTGAATTTATGTATACATATAACATACTTATGTAAAGTTAAATATATATTTTTATAAGTTTAATATTTCCGTATTTGTTACTGGCTTCCGATCTGTACCGACATGTTTCCGTCCATATTGTTCCGTTTCCGGTTTTTCGATATTTCTGATATTGTTTTCGTTTCCGATATCGTTTCCGAGAAAAATATGGTTACGGAAATGGTTGAGGCTGTTTTCCGATCGTTTCCGACCGTTTTCATCCCTAGTTTTCGGACACGAATGAAAAAACTAATTTCATAACTCGCCTAGGAACCGTGAAACGAATTTATTAAGCCTAATTAATCCACCATTTGCACATATGGGTTACTACAACACTTATGGCTAATTATAACCTAATTAGGCTCAAAAGATTCGTCTCGCGATTTCCATGCAAACTGTGCAATTAGTTTTTAATTTTATCTATATTTAATACTCTATACATGTGCCCAAAGATTCAATGTGACGTTTTTCGAAAAAAAAAATTGGAAACTAAACAAGGCCTTTTCACTTGAGGATCATCTCTTCTTCTTCTTCTTTTTTTTTTAAAAAAAATACAAGAGACACATGAAGTCAAGGACATATATATGGGTAAAATTAAAGGTAATTTTAAACTTTGTCCATTTTGGCCTCTAATTTTGAAAAATGTTCGAGATGGGAAGCCAAAACCATGTCAATGGCACACCAGGGAGTATTAACGCTTGGAAAGTTAGTTGATTAGGGTTCTCAAAGTGAAACCTATCTACACATGTTTGAGTGACATATATGCGTTTGTTTTTTTGTAGGATTAATAATAGGAAGTAATTGTGTGAACGCCGTATCCATTGCCAAAAAAAAAATGTATGAACACACGGGGTGCATGGAGTGGTTAAAAGAATATACTTAGAACATCACCAACAGTTTACTTATTCTATTCCCTCTCATCAGATTTAGAAAATTTGGGTCAAAAATCGTATCCAATAGAATCTCTAACCAATCTCCCGATAGTTCAGGTTCCCTAACTCCGCTTATAGGGAGCGACTTTTTGTTCCAAATCGTTGGTCCATGCTTTCTCACGCGCGCACGGCGAAAATGTTCCTGCGCTCCTCTTCAAGACCTTGTTCCTCGGCAGCAATGCCATCTTCCTCGGCAGCGGCGCGGGACGACATCTTCCTCGGTGGCACCCTTTTCTTCGCAGCAAGGTTGGTATTGGCCGTTGCTTCCGCTTGGTTCCCCAACAATGGATTTGTACCACGGCGCGGTGCGTGGTGTGGTGATGACGACCAGAGTTCGACCGGTTGGTGGAGGTGTGTCGTTGCCGCTACAAGCACCACCACTGCCTCAATTCGGGGCACCTCCACGGTACAGCGAGATTTGGCCCGGCAGCCATCTGTGCGGCTGCGCCCCCGACCGCCGCCTGGCCCTCATGTTGGCTTGCCTCATACCTATCCAGTCAACCTCCCTACTCTGGCGTTGAGGCGGTAGAGGCATGGAAGGCGAGAAACCTACTGAGCCACTGGATCCTCTCACACGAAGCTTCTGGCAGCAGTTTCTCCAGAGCTTGGTCTCTAGGTGACAAAGAATTCCTCCACATGAGCAATTTCGGTAAAGTTTATGATTCGTTCAGTGTTACATCTGAAGTCAAAGTTTCTTTTGGTGATGTTTTCCACCTTTTGATTTTCTATCAATATTCATACAATTCAGTACTGATTTTTCCTAGTGCAATTTACCAAATTTTGATATGAGATGTGCTCTTTTCCATTGAATAGTTTCAGTCAATATATTTGTTTCATGGCATGGCAGCAGGTTCATTCGGATTAAAGCATAAATGGATAATGTTTAGGCCTTAAAATGAATGATAGTGAAAAAATGGTGATCTTGACAGTCATTTCAGGATGAGCACTACAAGATTAATATGTATTTGCTTCTATGGTCTTGGCAGTGCTTCTATGGTGAAGAAATGATTTTTTTTTTCTCTTTACAAAACAATGTCCAAAATTCATGACTGTAACCTGGATCTGTTCTCCTAGTTTGCACTTTGTGATAGAAGGGATCAAACAAAAACACATTGAGCTCTTAATAGCCCTATATGGTTGCAATATTTACCTTCTTCTTCTGACATGAAGATTTTACAAGTTACATATAGCTTTGATGGTACTGTATGCTTTATTTCCATATCTGGGACATGAAGATTTTGCTATGCTCTGCAATTTTGCTACTGACATGAAGATTTCGCTATGCTCTGATTCCCATGATTTACTGACAGAATTACATCCTTGTTTTGCTATGCTCTGACTTTTTTTTTGCTTAGGGCTTTCTGTAGTATGCTCTGATTCCCATGATTTACTGACAGAATTACATCCTGGTTTTGCTATACTCTGATTTTTTTTTTGCTTAAGGCTTTCTGTAGTACTGCTGTTTAGTAGGTTGGATATGCTTCGAATTTTTGCTATGCTCTGAAAGTCTGAAATATGCTCTGTCAAATATTTTTGCTATGTCAAATATACTCTGAAAGTCTAAAATATTTTTGCTATGTCAAATATTTTTCCCTCTTCACAGCATCTTTCAAATATGCTCTGAATTTTTGCAATAAGATAATGCTGTTAGATAATTTGACAGATAATGCAATAAGATGCAGTTCACAGACTTTTGTTAAAGATAAAATAACAACCTGCTTTCGCCAATCAGACATTCAGAGTTTCATGAAAGCTGTAAATATACAAAGCTAAGTAGAACAGTATAAGTTCAATAGCATTATAATAAGTTATAGAGTTCTTTAGCTGTAAGTAGAACAGCTGCTTAATTGAATTGATCATCTGTATTTAGTATGTCTCACTTTTTAGATTAGCAGATGAATAACTACATGCTTGTGCTAAATATTTAAAATAGTGTCTGAAAGATGCAATTTGAATATTTATGTGACTAATCACTCACTGTCACTGGCAATTATTCTTCTTAGTTCCCTTCTCTGATGCCATCCTAGACAGTATGTGCTCTGAATTTTTGAGACACTATGTGCTCTGAATTTTTGCTATGCTCTGAATGTCCGAAATCGAAAGTATGAAAGTCTGTTTTTTTTCCTCAAGTACATGCTAACAAGTTTATGATTTTGATCCATGGACAGATAGTGGGTAACGAGAGCGATATTACACAAAGTTGATGAATGATGATGGCAACCATTTTGGGTCAAGTGTGATGGGAAGCCAATACGATGTTGAACATGAACTTGTTGTGAATGAAAATGCTGCTGTGAGACCAAACCAAAAAAGATCCGAAAAATTCATTTTGGAGGAAGACAACCTTTTGGTGTCGGCATGGATAAATGTTTCTTTTAATGCGGTAAAGGGATGGATCAATCTCATGGAACACATTGGGGCCGCATTCATGACTATTTTCATGAGAACAAGGAATTCGTTTCAGATCGCTCCCAAGGTTCACTTGTACATCGTTGGTCCGCTATACAAGAGCATGTCAATAAGTATACTGGTTACTTAAGTCAGATTTAGAATCGAAATCAGAGTGATGTCAATACTTGGGACATACTTGGTTTCGATTCTGAATCTGACTTTAAGTAACCAGTATACTTATTGACATGCTCTTGTATAGCGGACCAACGATGTACAAGTGAACCTTGGGAGCGATCTGAATCGAATTCCTTGTTCTCATGAAAATAGTCATGAATGCTGCCCCAATATGTACCATGAGATTGATCCGTGCCATGTACAGCATCAAAAGAAACATTTATCCATGCCGACACCAAAACGTCGTCTTCCTCCAAACTAAATTTTTTGGATCTTTTTTGGTTTGGTCTCATAGCAGCATTTTCATTCACAACGGGTTCATGTTCATCGCCGTATTGGCTTCCCATCTCACTCGAGCCAAAACGGTTGCTATCATCATTCATCAAGTTTGGGTAATATTGATCCCCGCAAAAAAAAAGGTTTGTGTAATATTGCTCTCGCTCCCCACTATCTGTCCATGGATAAAAAATTAACCTTGTTAGCATGTACTTGAGGAAAAAAACAGACTTTCATACTTTCGGTTTCAGACTTTTAGAGCATAGCAAAAATTCAGAGCACATAGTGTGTAGGACATCAGAGAAAGGAACTAAGAAGAATAATTGTCAGTGACAGTGAGTGATTAGTCACATAAATACTCAAATTGCATCTTTCAGACACTATTTTAAATATTTAGCACAAGCATGTAGTTGTTCATCTGCTAATCTAAAAAGTGAGACATACTAAATGCAGATGATCACTTCAATTAAGCAGCTGTTCTACTTACAGCTAAAGAACTCTATAACTTATTATAATGCTACTGAACTTATACTGTTCAATTTAGCTTTCTATAGTTGCAGCTTTCATGAAACTCTGAATGTCTGATTGTCAAAAGCAGGTGGTTATTT